AGTGACAGAGGCTTCCTGAGGAGCCTCTGCATTACACAAGACTATAGGTGGAATAACTGAACTGCATCCAGAATCTTCAGAGGTGGGAAATTTCCACTTGAAAGGACGGGCAGACCAGCCTGGAGCAGCTAGAAGAACAGATAATACTTCTTGAAAGAAAGACCGACAGGAAAAATACAAAACAGTAATGGCAGTGCGACTGACTTCTACAAGAACAAGCAAGTAGCTCACTCAAGGAGCCATCAAGGCAAGTGGTCGGGTCCCCTCAGGGCAAACCCCCTTCCAAAACAGACTCAATGGGAATACATGCTCTGATTGGTGACCACGTTAGTCACAGATAAGACGAAGTGAGGGAAAAACAGCAATGAAGCTGTGAGCTAAGTCCTACAACGTTCAATAGATTCCTGTGAACCCAGAGTGCGATCAGTTTGGCAAGACCTGGGGACTCCTGGGCATAGAGTCAGTGACATAGCCAAAGAGGACTAGAGTGGAGACTGAAGCATCCAGCTGATAAAAAGAGAGGGCATATGCACGAGAACACCCACACCTACAGATAATACCCACTTGAACTGGCTTCAATGACTAGATGATCAGAGCTCAACTAGAAGAAGAAAGAGGAAAAAAAGAGTAATCCGATATAATTTGATGAACATGACCTATACCTATGGATGTAGTAGCTCAAAAGAGGGAACAAATCTTTACAGCAAGGTTCATTCCTATCCCCTCCATACACAGAGTAGACAGGGATGGGCCACTTGGACATTGGCTACAAAGGCAAGAAGTGACTGGCTTACAAGCTTTCAAGAGGGAACCTAGATCCAGAAGGTGTGGAGGAAGACAGACTCTCCACTGAGTAGTATCCAATCTGTCTGGGCGGGACTGATAAAAGGAAATGCAGACAGGTCTCTTGTGATACAATAATGAATAATTGTTATCAGGACTGATTGTGAGGGTTGGAAATGCAAAGGCAGACGTTTTGTAGCAAGAAGGGGAGTGATTAACAATTCAGTCTAGGAGCGCAAGTTCCTGGGACCATCAAGGGAGAAGAAGTGATGCCAGAGATGGAGAGATGGAGCAGCTGGAGACTTTAGACCCAGAGAGGGAGAAGGGCTGTGTGCTGATGACCGGGGAGTGGAACTTGTCGTATATACCCTTTCATTGGTTGACGATGCATGGAGGGGACTGTAACCATGGCAATGAAACCATATACGACAGGATGAATGTAAAACTAATGTTCTCCCATGTAAACTATCACATAATTCACAATAAAACATATAAAAAAAAAAAAAAAGCGTTCTTAAGTTCTTAATATGTGCTATTGGTCATAACAACACTATGTTCAACAGAACAAAACACTTCCCGGTCCTGTGCCATCCTCAAGATTATTATTATGTTTTATCCCATGGTTGCAGCCATTGTGTGTCAATCCATCTCACTAAGGATCTTCCTATTTTCTGCTGACCTTCTACGTACCAAGCATGTCTTTCTGCAGGAACTCCTGATAATATGTCGAAAGTCCAAGAGACTACATCTAGCCTTCCTTGCTTGTAAGGAGCATTTTGGCTCTATTTCTTCCAAGACATGTTTGATTTTCCATCAGTCCATGGTACTTTGAGTACTCTTTGCTAACACCAAAACTCAAAG